ACATCTATTCCTAGAAATTTTACTATAAGCGGTATTAGGTGTCCATGTAGGAAGTGTCAAAATAAAAAGTATCTGCATCCAGATGTTGTAATGATGCATCTTCTACACAAAGGGTTTATGGAGAATTACCAGTGTTGGTATGCACATGGAGAAGTATATGTTAGTGAGAGGAGAATGGAAGAAACAGTGGTTGGGTCTACTTCTAGTGCTAGCAACGAGAATGACAACACTAATCCTTACAGAAACATGATTATAGATGTAATGAGAATGAATCAAGGTAATGTTAGTCACTGTCCAATCGTAGAAGAAGAATCTAATATAGATGCAACTAGGTTTTTTGATTTGTTGAAAGATTTTGATGAACCATTATGGGATGGCTGCATGAACCATAGTAAATTATCAGCCGTAGCACATGTGTTCACCATCAAGTCAGAGCACGAGTTGAGTGAGGTCGGGTATGACAAGATTATTGAATGGGAAATAAACATTTTACCTAAAGAGAACAAACTGAAAGAAAATTTTTATGCTGGGAAGTCCATGATGAAACCCCTCGATTTAGGATACCAAAAAATTGACATGTGCCCTAACTTCTGCATGTTATACTACCTTGAAAATGCTGAGATGACCAAGTGCATGACATGCAAGCATTCCTGTTACAAACCTAGAACTGGCAAGGGAAAGACTCTAGTTGCATATAAAAAACTTAGATACTTCTCGATCACACCTAGACTGCAAAAGTCATTCATGTCACCAAAGACTGTTGAGCACATGACATGGCACCAAGCACACCATGCGGTTGATGGAGTGATGATTCATCCTTCTGACGGCGAAGCGTAGAAACGCTGTAACAGTGTTCATCCTCACTTTTTAGCTGAATCAAGGAATGTGAGTCTTAGGTTGTGTACAGACGGATTCAACCCATTTAGGTCATTTGCTGCTCCTTATTCTTGTTAGCCAGTTATACTCATAGTTTATAACTTGCCACCGAGAATGTGTATGAAGTTGGAGTTCATGTTTTTATCTACTGTCATACCTGGTAGCCCAGGGTGAAATATAGATGTTTGTCTTCAACCGTTGATTGATGAGTTGGCGCAATTGTGGTCCTTCGAAGCTCTGACTTATGATATATCGAGAAAATTTTTTTTTCTTATGAGGGCGGCTTTGATGTGGACTATCAATGATTTTCTAACTTATAGAATGCTTTTTGTGTGGAGCACGCATGGGAAACTCATATGTCCATACTGCATGGAAAACAACAAGGCATTCAAGCTAGCAAATGGAGGTAAATCTTGCCACTTAATCACAATTACAGAAAGAACAAAAGAGATTTCTTTGTTGGTAGAGTTGAAAAAGATGTTAAATCCCTGTGTCTTTCTGGTGAAGAATTGCATGATGTTGTCTTAGAGTATGGTGGCATTGTGTTTGGCCTTCAATCAGGTAAGCAAAAGTTTCCTGATTTTGGTTTGACCCATAATTGGGTAAAGCGAAGTATCTTTTGGGAGCTTCCTTATTGGAAGACCAATATGCTTTTCCATAACCTTGACGTCATGCACATCGAAAAAAACATGTTCGAGAATATTTTCAACACCATCATGGATGTGAAAGGGAAGATAAAGGACAACATCAAGGCTAGATTGGATATAACTTTATACTATAACCGTAAAAATATGGATTTGGTTTATGATGAGTTACGGGTCGCAAAACTAAGAGCAAGCTTCATGTTAGAGAAAAACATACAACTACTAGTCTACAAATGGCTTAAGAGTATGCGTTTTCTGGATGGACATACATCGAACATATCACAACTGGTTAATATAGAGGATTGCAGATTGTATAGAATGAAGAGTCATGACTACCACGTGTTTATGCAAACACTCATCCCATTAGCTTTTC